TAATATAATCTAATCTAATCTAATCTAATCTAATATAATATAATCTAATATAATATAATATAATATAATATAATATAATATAATATAATAATATTGCACTGGTGGTTTGACTGCCAGGGCCAAGTCACATCAGCGTGGGGTAGACTGCCAGGGGAAGGCCAGAGCGAGGGTGCTTCTTCAGCAGCCAGTAGCCCACAACAAAGACCTGTCAACAAGCAGCTTGGAAGACGAGCCGCAGACGGAGTTTCACTGACACTCGTGGATGTAAGCTTTCCTCTGAGATCTTCGAATGCGCCTTCATGACCTTCTTCAAGATCTCGAACGTAATGAGGTAGCCGTCTCTAGCTAGAGTCGGTATGTCCTCTGCCACATAGGATTTCTGAAGAACGGCAGTGGACACACGGATTGCATTGGGGCCAATCCTCCATCATGCTCGTCTTCAGATCTTGAATAGGAACTCGCAGCCTTCGACTCCGCGCAGTGACTTCTGTTCCACACCCGTTGTGACACCTTCCACCGCAGAAAAACCTGGCAAACAACCCGCGGCCTGGACTCACGAGTATAGTTCAAGTACTTACCTCGTCCAGCAAGCATCGCGGGCACAGAATACAGTGATAGCACAGCAAGCAGACATCCGTTTTCGGCTTGGGCCCCAGCGAAAGAGATTTACACGCAAGTGCTGACGAATGTGGAAGCCCATTTCCAGAACCTGCGCATTGAGATGTGAGGTAGCTGTACGGCGTTTTCCATGCCCTCTGAACTGGATACGCTGAGATCGTAGCAGACATTTCAAAGTGGTCTGCAGCTACCTGGCAAGAGCCAATCAGGATTCAAGGTGTCGGTGTGTGCGTCAAACTTGCGTCGCCAAGCTGCTAGGATGAAGTTTGGGAGAACCCTGAGCTTCCGTGACGTAAACTCGCATTACAGAGGATCCCAAACGAAATCTCAGACGCGAAGCCAGGCAAGGCCGAGGACGGCCGCGGTAAGACTACGGCTTCCTGGGACAAGTAGTCCTCAGCTCTCGTTCTCTCTCTCTCTCTCTCTCTCTCTTTTTCTGAACCTCTGATGAATCTCTCGGCATACTCCTTACATATCAGGGTTTCCGAAACTCTGCGGCTCTAAGCTGCACAGTGGCTCTCCAGAGTCGCTTCGTCTTTGACCTGGGCGGGAACCCTCCGGGCCCTCAGCCATCAAAAAGATGCAAGCTGACTTGTGTAATGCTTTTTTCTGCCGAGCTTCATTCAAGCAAACGTCGACCAAATAGACCTGGCGAGCCCAGAGCTCTTTTGGAGGATTCCTGCCGAAATCCTGCATTTGCCTTGAGGTAGATGGTCATCAAATAATAAGCATTACCCAGCCTGGGTCGCGCATGGCACACATTCAAAGAGTGCGCATGCAGCCGCGCGGGATTGTGCGTCCCAGCAGCTGGGCAAGGAAAACGGCCACAATGGATTTCCACCATATGGTGGGCACGTGTCGAAAAGTGAAAAGAATGAAGGCCCGCAGCAATCGGAATCCGATCTGATGCAGATCTTCCTCAGGCCAGAAGATGGTCCCACTGCGTGAGGCAGCATACCATCCGCCAGTTCAGCAGGCTTGAAGCTACGCAGCTACAGTATCACTGGCACTAGCCGTTTCACGAAGAGGCCGAGGCCTAATTACTTCTTCGAATCTTGCTTCAGCGGCCTCGCCCCACCCGTGGCTTGACGAACTTCACCAACCCAGGCGGCTGCGGCTACTTACTCTTCGTATTACACTGTCCTGCCGCAATGGTCAGAAAGCAGAAGTGAACACTGCAGCGGATGCGTTTGTGTGTCTAAACATGTAGCAGTAGCTGCACACTCTGCCTGTGCATCGAGACGAAACGAAGCTAACAAAGAGAAGTACTCTTTTGCTGGCTAAGCTTCCTCTTGAACAGTCTTCATATCTCGAAGTTCTTCTCGAAACTCCTGCATACCACGACCGGCTGCAAAGAGCACCCACAGTTTCAACAACACAGGGACGGCAGTGGCAGTCTACTCTACTCAGCCCTAAATTCCTGAACATGTCTGAAGGGACGCTTGCGACATGGTGCGGTGCAGGCTTTAGGCAAGCTGCGCTGGAGGGAAACAAATCGTTGTCGAAAACGAGAACTTGGCAAATGCTCCTTGGACACGCAACAAGGGACAGCAAGTCTTGGGCATGCGTCGTTCGCGGCCGTTTCCATTCCTCAAGCCCAGGGTCTGATCCGGCTGAACGGTGCAACCCTCTGGGTCGCTAAGGATGCATTTGAAGTCCAAGGTCGTGTCGAAGTTGTCGTCGTCGATCCTTGGCCAAAGTAGAGGACACTTCTCGAGGCTTTCAAAGTCACATCTCCCTTTGATCGAGTCTCAGCTCGATGTCGAAGCTCTTCATGCTCTCACCAGGTCCGAATCGTAGCACACCTTGGCTATCTGCGAAAACTGAAGCTGCGGCTGGACAATCTCTGGTGGACTGTGGCTGGCACAAGCGTTTTAAAGAATTAGCATCGAGGACGAAGGTAAACGGGGTCTGTGGCTGTGTGCAGCCAGGGCTCTTTCCAGAGGCTGGTACCTAAGATGCAAAGCAGGCCAAACCCGCTTTGCAAATGACTCAAATATGACTCTGAGAAGCTTTTCACCAGCTTTGGCAGTGCTGTCCTGCATGGCTTTTCCATTAATTACTGGGTAGCATGTCATGGACATGCTGTTAAGTGAAGCCTGTGGGGCAGACTACAAGCAATGCACAGAGCTATAGGCTTTAAATGCAACTTTTCTCCGAGCGGACAGTGGTGACGGCGTCGGAGCCTTCCTCGGGCGTTCTCGTTGTCCTAGGACTGCCAGGCTTCTCGAGGTCTCGGGGGCTGGGTCACACCGGTGGCGAACGTCCGCGTCGCCGGCAGCCCGGTAAGCAGGACTGTACTGAACTCAGACCTCTCGATGTGCCGGCATAGAACTGCTGCCCTAGCCAGGGAGGGGGCTATGTACGCGTGAATCTGCCAGGTGCATCTCTGTCCTGGAAGGACGCTGACGAGGTACCATCTTGTGATGGCTGACGCCCAAGGTTGAAAGCAATGTGGATCTTGATGTCTGGGAAGAGCTTTCTAAACTGCGCCATAGCACCAACGCAAGAAAGACATGGAACCTCGGAGACGTGGAGCCAGAGCTCGCCCTCGATGGCAGAGCCATCCAAAGGAGGAGGTCCGATGGGATCACAGCCCAAGTCCAAACATCGACGTGCACATGCCTGAAGCGCTTGAAACTCACCATCTCCCCCTCGTGGATGCCTCAAGACTGCCGCGAAAAGCCCCAGTTCAAAAGCTTCGGAAGCGGGTCCGCTGGTCACTGCAGTCGGCTCCGCCTCACTGGTCTGCCCAGTCACGGACCGGAGCGAATAGCGATAAACGCAGACTGTACGGCAAACTTTTAGCCCTTCCTGTGCCTCAGTGTTCTTAGTCGAATCGGATTCATTGCCCGTCCCAGTTATCCGAGCTGCGGCCACTTGTGATGCATTCTGCCAACTCTCACGCTGAGGGCCTTCCAGCAAAACGACACCCATCTCGCGAAGTAGCTTGGATGTGTACGTAAACCCCAGGCCAACCAAGCTGAAGCTTGCCATGTGGTCCCGATAGTCTTGGACGGCTAATGCCCGATCAAAGTCTGAGAGCTTGCGAAGGCCAAGTGGCATATCGCTGGACACTTGCACAAACTTCTGCACGGACTCGTACTTCTGACCAGCCCAAGATACGAGTGAATGCCACTGGGGCCCTTGCACAGCATCCTCATATCCGCCCGTTGATATGGACTCAATGAGGTCAAGAATTTCTTGCCCGGCGCACTCGTGGAGTCTTCCAGCTGCTTCGTTCACGAGACACTCCATCAACCTCTCGTCCCGGTATCCTAGACGGTTGTAGGCCCAGGCTGTGTTGCCCAAGTTCTGGGGAATGAAATCCTCGGATGTATCGCCATGCGGATTCCTCGCCTCTACAATTAGAAGCCTTTTCTTAGCAACATTATGGGGCTATGAAAGTCAAGGGGCAGACACGATTTGTTGGGAGCGAATGCTGAGGGCCTGAGTTCACCCCATGCGCATGTTCTATGGCCCAGGCCACTTCATCATTTCTGGTCCTACACAATAAGCACAAGCGCGCCGCTTCTAAAACACCCTGCCTTCAGGAGTGGGTCGTGTCGGAACGTGAGCAATGCAAACGCCCAAACCAAGTTCGAGCACTCCTGGGGATTGAAGCTCGCGACCTTCCAGCACCGAGGCACACGGCTACGAATGCCACGAGTAAGTCGTAAAAAGTCGTATGCAGACGTCTTTCTCCACTTTGACTCCCCTGCCCTCCCGGCCCTCCCTGCCTGCTCCATGGCCTTGGAGGCCAGAACTTGCAAGTATCGCTCATCCTCTCAGGCTGACGCGCAAGGTGCAAAATCACCCCCAACCGCGCCCGCTTTACAGCAGTTCTCTAGCAGCCCCTAGCATGAGAGACCTTGTGTGCCAGAGTCGCCATGGCCCAAGTCATGTTGGCCATGTGCTGTGCATTGAAGATGTCCATCTTCCGCACTGCTGCCTGGCAGAGAGCGGAGAGAAGAGGCCGGTTCGGGAACTCCAGGGTCGCATAGGCCCATGCGAGGATGGAGAGGTGCTGCGGATCGAACTCGTCAAGACGCGGTGGGGCTTCTTCTGCGATTGTCATCAATAAGCATTTCTGCTGGAACTGGAATTTGGCCAAAGCCCAGACAACGTTGGCAATGCCCTGAGATGCAAAAGTCTTGATGCGCTCGGTGATGATCTGGGTCATGTGATGAAACAGATTCCTGGCACAAGTGTCGCGATGGCTACATGCTTCCTAGGATTGCAAGCAGAGACAAGATGGCAAAGGAGAGGAATGATGCAAGGGAAGAGATCTAGAATCTAGAGACCGAGGATGAAGAAAGCCGAAGGCATAGCCAAGCCGCAGCCGGGAAGCTTAAGACAGCCCCGTCTCGGCTGGCCACCCGGTTCAAGTTGAATATACATCCCCTTACTCATGTTGCCCCGGTTTCTGCTATCAAGCCGCATAGTCTTGTAGCCCAAAGTTGCGTAGCTCCACAGTGATATCGACAGGTTCTGCTGGTCAAAGGTGTTGGCGGTGTCAAAGCAACGTTTGCTTATGGCTGCCAGTGCGGCATCACTCCTCCATGAAAGAGTAGCCAGCGCCCAGAGTGTGTTTCCCACATCTTGAGGAGTGTAGTACTCTGCTTTGAGTTCAACTTCCTCCAGCAGATCAGGGGATGCACACTTCTTTGGCGACTCAAAGCCCTAGCGACGTCCTCCTCTACACAGTACTTTCTACGAGAGCCCATGCCTTGCCTTGCAGAACCTTGTCAAGAAACGCTCGTCACGCCAGTGAACAGTGGCAAAAGCCCAGATCACGTTGGTCATATCCCGGGTCTCGAAGGTGGCGAGCTTCCGGCTCACCTCTTCGGCCCAAAGACGACACCAGGCCTTGTCCACATATCCGATCTTGGCGAGAGCCCATGCAGACAATGCCAAGTTCCGAGGCTCAAAGCTGTCCAAGTACTTGGCAGATCCCGCCTCGGTCGAAAAGCAGAAGAGCACTCTGCACCGGGCCTCGAGCTTGCCTGAGATCTGGAAACGGGTGCCGCCATGGAGCAGCAAGCTGCGTAAGAAGCGCCGTTTCGGCTGCATCAGTTGCTTCCAAGGTGGCCAATGCCCAGAGGCAGTTGGTCAACTCCATGTTGTTCAAGTCGGGAACCAGTCGTGAAATTCTCTCCAACAGCCTTTGAAAAGAGTCAAGGCTGCCTTGGTGACCACAGCACTTGGCGAGTCTAGCCTAGCCATGACTTCACAACTGAAGCCTCTGCCAAGCTGCGAAGCAAACGGGCTCGCTCTGACAAGCCCCTGCCCTCTCGCACCACGGCTCTGGCCAAGCGGTGCAGCAGCGTGCAGGCGTTCAGCGCGTGAGGCGTCTGACCAAGAACATCCACCAGCTCCAGCAGCTGCCTGAATGTAAACCCATTCAGTGTCACTTAGTCAAGTCAGGCTGAAAGTACGAGAAAAAAAAACTGTTTGTCTACAGTCTACACCAGCCTCCAGCTTGCTGCATTCCGCAAAATCACCTTGTTTTGGTGCTTCGTCGCCTGCGGTGTTGTATCATCAGCTGAGCTGCATGCGCAACATAGAATGAACAAGGCCAGTAGCACTACGTAAGTTGGGGGATTCGAACCCAGATTCAATCCAGGTTCGATCAACTGGGTTTGGCTCCGGGCCGTTTCAATTTCCATCACGTGTCCCTCTCTGATATCAACAATGCCGCTTTTAATGTCTCGAGCCGACCGTCTGATTGACCCTTTCAGTGTGCAGAAGGCAAGCGGCATCAGCTGCTTGCCGCACGTGGAGCATTGCAGCTGGGGATGAAGGATCCCACGGCGGTAAGTTCTCGCCATGGGGAACCCGCATGCTCGCCGATAGTTCGGCCTTTACAGCTGAGCCAGCCCTGAGGCAAATCCGATAATCCAAACACGCCTTACAGTTTCTGAATCGATGACAAAGTCTCATCTAATTTCGACAGGTAGACCGCCCTGCGAGCGACAATGGTTGATGCGCTTCAGCGCTGGTTTTAAAACCTCTGCAATGTCCTCGGTGTGGCAGGAGACGGAACAGTCGCCCTCCAAAGTGCCTTGCAGTGAGGGACGTTCCGTGAGGGGGGGGAGGCAAGCAGAAGATGGTGGGGCAGCATCGGGCATAGTGCCTATCCGGATCACCTTCACGCTCACCTGGTGCTTTCCTGACAAGCAACACATGCGCCCACGCCCGACCAGAGGAAAGGAAGCGATTTTCGGTGCATTTCGTTGCTAGCCCAGGTGCGGCCCTCTTCAGTGTAGAAGATATGGGACATGAATTGTACAATGTCCTGAAGACTCAGATGTCAAAATGCCCTTCTCCGAATCCAGAGTGACGTTGTGCGGCTGCGGGAGAAAACTCAGTTCTCCACCCCTGAAGTGCCAAGGCGGTCGTCGGGGCTCCTGCTCAGAGTCTCATGCAGGGGACATCAGCGTTGCTGTGTTGCTGCTCCTTTGACCTGGACCATCCACAGGTAGCACTTTGGCCAACCTCCGCAGCTTAGACAACTGAATCAAGGACTTGATGGTATCGGAATGCAGTGTGATACCTGGCAGACTCTGGCGATGTGTCGCCGGGCAAAAGCCGATAGCCCTCGGCCACGGTCAAACATCGACCGCTTGCAGATCACACCCCAGATGTCCACATCAGTCGGCTGTGTCAATAAGGCAACGGCTGTGCTGGCATGGCCCTTTAGCCAAGCCGACATATGTGCGGAAACGAAGGTGCAAGACGAAGAACTTTCACTTTGCCAAACTTCCCTGACTTCCGACTTCTCGGTTGCTAAAGTTGAACATGTGCTTTGATCTACGGTGCTGCTGCTCATGTTAACGAAGGCATGCGAATGTCAGCTAACGGTGTGTCTTGGAAGCAGCCAGCTGTGGTGCGCGATCTAATGCATCGCACCCGTGCCAACACTCAACTTCAATTCAGCGATCGATGCCGTCAACCAGGTGCCTGAGTCTCTCGTGGTCTCTTTTCATGTGGTTTGCATGACCAATATCTCCGCACGCACGCACTGGTTCACTGGTTCACCTGAAACAGAGCAGCCACGTAAAGCCCACAATACTGCCGCAAGCTTTCAGCTGTCTGAGTCGCGTTCGCGAACGTACTCTGCTGCTTTCAGCATTCGCCTTATCCGGGGAAGACTTAAACGAGACACGGAAAAGCAGAGGCAAGGGCTGTTGAAGCTATACCCTGTGCTTGGCTCCAGGCCGAAGAGCTCGTTGATACTCCTTGCGAATCTCGCTTGATCCTTGATGCGCCTCGACGCAAAGACGACAGACCGCACCTAAAACAAAGGCTTCTGGAGGGCCACGGCATCTCGCAAGGCGAGATTTGCGCACAGAGGTGCGTGCACGTTCTGAATTCGTCCTAGTAAGTCCTAGTGTGAAACGACGGAGGGCCCTGTCATCTTCGCAAGTCCCGGTAGTAATGAGGCGGTGTTAGGCTGGACTGGCTCAGCAGAGCAGCGCCGCCATGATTTCCTTTGGAAGCACCAAAGTTGTCCACGCGAAAGCCTCGAGAGCGCTTCGGGGACTCTTTAGTATCTCCGACGCCGAAGCCACCTTCTGATGTGGATGCGGAGACTGTCATTGTGCAGGAATGCTCAGTGTCACTTGGCGGCGAGTCGCGCTTCTCTTTGCTGCAAGGCGCCCTGGCACGTGGCAGGGTAGTATAGGGCGGTAGCGGTACAAGCTTTCGGCATGGTCACAATTCTCACAGAAGGCGTGCTGTTCACAATGCAGACAAGGCGCTCGGGCTCGGGCTGCTCCAAAACAAAGCGCTGCGCAGCCTCTGGTGCAAATCCGCCCAGTAGGTGTGTGATCTGAACCATCTGCTCCTTTAGCTCGCTCACAATCTGGTCCTTCTCTTCCAGCTCAGCATTTTTGTCCTCCAGCTCCTGCACTAGCTCGTCGATCCGGCCGCGCAGCTGATCGCCTTCGGCTGTCGCGTAGCCTGCTGATGCCTTGTGCAATGTACGACCATGCTCCTGGAGAACTCTCGCAGACTAGAGCACTCTTCAGCCCGAACAGCTTTCAAGCAAGCTTCAATCCTGTTGCACATCCTCAGGCCCTAAGACCTAAACAGAGCTACTCCAACGCATCAACCTATCAGGACCGACAAGACATGCCCAGTCCATCGACACATAGCCACATGTGGTCGCTGCCTGCTGACACGAAGAGCAGGTCAGCAGGTACTGCTTCAGGGCGTCTGCACTTGGCCTTGAGAGCTAAGGCTGAGGGCAGTAGCGACCAGCTGACTGGCGACGCTTCTTTCTTGATTTCGTGAGGCTGCAAGCAACACAGCAATAACTAGCAAAAGCTGATCACAGACCAAGATTCTCCATCCAAGGGTCATGGAAAGGGTCCCCACGACCTGTCCATCCGTTGAGCCCTTGGCAATGCAGACGATGGACCTCCCGCATCTCATCCAGCTTCTCCAGGAACCGTCTGTACGACCAGTAGTGGAGGACTTGACAATCTGGTAAAGCTCCCGTGGCTGGTGCGGTATGGATGCCTTTCCCGTAGCTTATCAAAGCAATCAAAAGAACCTCCTCCGGATTTCGCTCGATGTCCCAGATTAGTTCCACCTGGAAATGCATGTGATCCTCTGGCCTGACCTCCCGAGTAATCAGATTTGCTTCATCCAACAAATAGCATACTTCGCGCAACACAGTGAAGCAAGCAAGACCAGTGGGGGCCGGCAACTTGGGAAGTAAGTCCTTCACGTAGCACTGTACATTCTTCAGTGAGTCAGAGTGTTCCAGAAGAGGATGTACCATCTCAAAAGTTATGTCCTCTTGTACCTGCAAGGCCGGAAGCAACTCCGACAAACTCCCTGGAAGCTTGCATTCCAGCTGGAGTGGCTTCTGCTCAGCCTTCGACTGAAGAGGGATCTTCAAGAGAAGCAGCTGGGCTCTGCCAAGGCAAACCCTATCATTGTCAGAGAGCTGGACACTGTCGGAAGTGATAAGCATCTTGCCATTGTGCAGCACATGCCGGCGAGCAAAGTCTGGACGAGCCATACTGAGGTGCCTGTCATCACTGTTGATGATGCTGCACAGATTGGGCAGGATGCCCAAGCCATCGAAGACTATAGTGCTGTCCAGATCACTTCCAATAGAAATCCTCTCCCCTTGTGGTAGGTAGTAGAGCAGACAGCCTGCAAGAACAGGATCATCAGACATGTTCAGAAGATACGGCGTTGTTGTATCCTTCCGTCTCAGATCCTCCGAGTTCTCTGTCAGCAACCCACACCATTCCAGAGCCTTGGTGCGCTGCCTCGCCAGTTTGAAACTCTCTTCCATTTGAGATGCAGTCTGCTTCACGATCTCTGCGATCAGGCTGCTTCTGTCATCCAGCGATGCCTTAAGCATGCTGCCCAAACCCAGCTGATCTGCTTCCTTCCGCAGCTCTGCCACCTCCTCCTGCAAAAGTTGGAGCTGTTCCGGTCGCGTCTTCGAAGCCACCGGGCGAGTCTGCAACTGACGCATCTCACGAGCAAAACGAAGCGTGGCCGCAGATTCCGATGCGTGCTGGCTTCCAGCACACAGAGTGGCTACCAGCAGCGAGCACCAGCTGCCTTGCAATGCATCTCTCAGAGCAAGCGTCAGTGGAGAGCCCAACGAAGTGGAGTCTCGAGGTCGACTACCTTCAGATAGCTCCCGCACCGTGGTCTGCAATGCCGTCAGTGACGAGCAGGTGGCCCTCCGTGATGCCGACGGAGCAGCCAGGTCGAAGAGGTACACCCGCGCAGTCGATTGTTGACCTGAGGCACCTTGCACTTCCACCCGGAAGCAATAGACTTGGGTGGAACGGCTGGACGACTCATGCAGGCATGTGCGACCAAGCGCACGACGCTTCAAGGAGAAATCTATTAGCTCCTCCACATTGCATGATTCTACAGGGGTCTCTGTTGCACCGACCACCTGTACACCAAGGATGGGGTGATGAAGGAAGACTGGAGCATGTCTGCGCTCCGACAAGGGTTTTGTAGCCAACATGTCTTGGACCTGGTCGTTGAATATCTCCAACGCGCTGAACCTTAGAAGTAGGTTTAGTTGCTGCAGGAATGAGCACGAGGGTGTTTCAGGGGGGGAACAGCTCTACTTCATGCAAGCAGCCATACTCGAACTTCATTGAGTGTGTCGGGAAAGTCTGGGCGTAGGAGAGCTCTCTCGAGGCGCGACAAGAGGCCAGGCTTTTCTCTGGTCCCCAGCACTGTGTAGGTCTTCCCCGAACCTGAGGCTCCATAAAAAACGATTCCTTGGCTGATGCCTCGCACAGCTCCCCGGATGATCGGCTCGCCCAGACGCTCAAAGACTCTCGCTTGGGAAGCTTCTGCATCTTTGTCAAAAGTCTCCACCAAGATGTGGTCCACATCTGTTTGCTCAGTGCCATGATCTGATGTCACTGCGACTGTGCTGTCTACGAAGCTAATCGCGGTGGCTTCGTGGCACGGCTGTTTTACAGGCCGAATCCGAACAGCAACCTGGACAGATGCCTCTCCCCCGTCCATATCCATCGATGTTCACAGGGCATGCCTGTGGACCTCAAAAGGCTGCAACTTCTGAGTATGAAATTGGTGTCCTAGTTGATGCAGAACTATTTCTAGACGATCCGCTGCAGTGGTACCTTGCTCGACTTGGTCCTTGCTACGGTTCTTTCATGTCTGCATCATGTGAACCACTTCCCGCAAAAGTTTGCTTTGAGCCGATGGCCGTGGTGGGCTGGTCAGCTTCAACATCCGCCGCCCCAGGACTACTGGAGGTTGCCCAGGCACGCTGCTTGACTCGTCGGACGCTCTTGCCCCACACAGTCGCACAACCACTCGCAACTGGGGTCCCGGCTGCTGTTCGGCTTCCATCTTCTCCTTCACAACTTTTCAGTTCGGCAACCCTGTTCTTGAAGCTGACGCCAAGTGTCTCGATTCGGAAACAGATACTGAACATGCAGCTGAACAGATCAGCCTTTGCTGTGAGGGTCCGATTCGCCGGAGGCAGACCTCCAGTCTACATCGAGCTCTCATATGGTATGCCCAACAGCCATGCCCAGTGAACAACATCAAGACGGCTGTCAGCTGTGCTGGCACGATCTGAGCAGTCTCAGGATAACGCTGGAGCATGGTCCGTTGGCCTGTCTTGCCTCATCCATTATGTGGCCAAGCATATTCTGAAACAGCCTTGAGGAGGCACGACAAGCATCTTGGCATGAGAGGCACTCTCGTTTCACAGAAAGAACTATTGGATAACACGGCACTGCCAAAACGCTCGCATATAGGACCGAAATATAGGGTAAACAGGTCGGAACATTGTGAATGAGGCCATACGTCTTTCAAACGCTGCCCCGGCCAAGGCACTGCCGCATGCGCCTGCCATTCGAAGCTTGAGATCCACCGCGTCTTCGAATGCAAAACAGCTGTGTTTGGTGTATTGAACGTGTCGACGGGCACCGCCCAGAAGTCGACTTCTGGCTCGTTGGAATCTTCATCCTCTTCCTGCGATCGGATTTGATTTCCGATCGTGGCTACTGCACTGAAAGTGGTAGCAAAAGCGAGGTCCTCTGTTGAGGGAACATAGTCTTCAATGTCGCCTTACGATATGTTGCAACAGAGGACACAATTTCTCCGGGCTCTGGTCTCGCTGTTCTCAGCTCTTCGTGTTGAGTCCGTCACGGTTGCTTGGCCGAGAATGCCTGGTGGCAGAGAGCATGCTGCAAGCCGCAAGCCCCTTCAAGGCCCCTTTTCTGGCAAACTTTCACAGGTGCTGTGTCACGCACGCACACACACACAGATACATATATATATATATGAAGAAACAGCACGACACGTGTTGAATGCCTACGGTTGCTGTACCCCGAATGCCGACATCTGACTCGGTACGTGTGCAACTCAAGCTCCTCCTACCAATACCTCTTATCACAATACTTCAATACTGTAGCGAGTTTTTTGATATGTATGTATATGTATATATATATACACACGTGCTCTATAGAACATGATCGCGGGGAAACCGAATGTCCGACGCAGGCCTCTTCTGATTTGGCTTTCCCTGCCTGGGCAAATAGTCATGCCGTAGGTGACCATGCAAACAAAGAGCTTTCCCTTGCCCGACCCGGCGGTGCCGTGCGTTGTCTTGCGACGGCATACAATGCGAACCTTCGGAGAAATCTGCACGAACCAGTTTCCATTCTTTGATGTCGAGGTTGAATGGCTGTGCTTTTTTGGACCGCTTTTGGCTCTCATGACTCAGTTTCCTCGTGCATCTTTTGCCCCAAGCTCCTGCTTGTGAGCCGTGCCTTGGCTCGGCCTCCGAAGTGCGCGACGTGCATCTTGCCTCGTTCCTCTGCAGTTTTCTACCTCCCGTGCGGGTCCACGTGTTTTTTTGGTATTTTTTGGGTGTTTATGGGTAATGTTTTCGGTTTTTTGGGCCTGGATGGTCGCGAACGTATAACAGTCACAAGGATCGGCCTCACGTCGAGGCTGCACCTGTTCTTTTTTGGGTATTTTTTTTTGGTTTTGCCTTCATGGGTCCTGCAGACCTTGCACCATTCATCATATATCTTAAACATGCCCCGTCACTTGGCGATTCCGGTTCAAAAATACATCCTGAACACGCCCCCTCATTTGGCGATTCCGGAATTCTTTGCTTGCTTCTTTGCTTCCTTGCTTCCTTGCTTTGTTGCTTGCTTCCTTGCTTCCTTGCTCTCTTGCTTACTTTTTGCCCTGCTTATTCCCTTCCTTCCCTCTTCCTTCCTTCCTTCCTTCTGCTTGCTTCGTTCTTTCCTTCCCTCCTTCCTTAGATCCTTTCTCTTTGCCGGTTTAATTATCTCATCTCCGCTTGTAATGTCTAGTTTCCTTCCTTCCTTCCTTGTTCTTTGCTGTCTTCCTTCCTTCCTTTTTTCTTTGACGTAGCAGAAAATTGGAAAACCGCGGGACCAGACGACCGAACGACTGACTGACTGACTGATCGCCCCGTTGGCTCGTCGACTGACTGACTGACTGATCGACTTATGGACTCACATGCCCACTGAACCGAAAACCAAAAATACACAAATACAAGCTTTCAAAAAACCCAAAAAAACTACACCCCTCCGGTGCGGTCCTCACTTGCGAAGAGTGCAGTCCAGTTCATGCTTCGCCCTAACTTCAGCACGCCAGTTAACGTCAAGACTCTTGCGGTGACAACCGTGACCTTCGACACCAAGAGCAACACTATCATGCTGACCTCATGTGTAGAATTCCACCGCATTTGCAAAATCCATGTCGGACTGCAAAACCCGAGGAGGGCAAGCGGATCTAAAACGCAGCAGGAATCTTTTTTCCTAGGGGTCTCCGCCAGCAGGCTACGGCCACGGTTCAGCATCATGTCGCAAGTCGCTCGTTGCCACTGAGTCGGCGGCATCCGACGGGCGCGGGCCTGTTCCAGAAGGAGTAGCCTGCCCCAGGATGAATCAATGAATACGGTCGTCGTTCTCCAGAGCTGACATCAAACAGCTGGCGACAAAGGCGAAACTAAGAGCTGCGCTGCTTTTGCTCTTTCTGCCACCTCATGGGCTTCTGCTCAGACAGACCACAATGCCCAAAGTCCTTCTGATGCAGGCTTCGGCCTGTCCGCAATCTGCCTTCCTTCCTTCGCAGCGGCAGGAACGTGCGCTGGTGCCACCACTTCAAGCTGCGTGCCTCCTGCCGCTTTCGTTTGCGGCCTCGTACATAATCCGATGACTCAATGACCGTTGACTGAAGCTGATGAGCGGAATTGATGGGTCCCTGGCTGTGCGTTTTCCTCTCATGCAAGGACTCAAGGAAGTCCTTGTTTACCTGCGATGCTGCGCCTTGAGGAAGCCCGGCTGATCTGCTTTATGTGTCTATGCCTCGTCCCAGATCTCTTCCTTTGCTTTGCTTTCCTCTGGAGACAGAAGCTCGTACCTGAACTCCAGACAGTGCGTCATTCCCAAACACGTCGTCCAAAAGAGTAGCTCCAAGCTCTACACTCGTCGGGCTCATCCTTCGGGCTGATGGCGAGGCTATCGCCTTGCATCACGCAGCGACTCGCAGCAAAGCAGGGAAGGCGATCCGGCCTTGCTCGGACAGCACCTCTTCAGTCTCAGCCTGCCATGCTCAGCAGACTTTTGTGTGATGTTCAATGTTCACCTAATTATGTGTTGCACTCAGATTGCAAGACGAACAGCAAAATGTGCCTCTCCGAACAAGTCGCCTTGCACTCCAGATGGGTAGCATGATCATCATAGCCCTGGCTGAATATGCTTGCCAGGGGATGCTGGGCTCCCGGCCGTCAACGAGCGCTTGTTGCGCAGAACCTCGTTGGAATGTCCCCTAGCTGCCATATCTTGGTGGCCTCCTCTCCATAAACACGGGAAGAAGGTGCAAAGCTACAGCATGACACCACGGGGACGTCACGGGGAATTGCTAACGCACGTCGTCGGAGTTTGGCAGTGCGCATTCGTCCATACCCGCAGCAGATCCAAATCAAAGCATGCCAGGTCCCCAAACTCTGGAGACCCTCTCTCCGAAAGCCCCGCGGATCATGGATGCTCTGGACAGTGCGTGCATTGCAAGAGCGCTTCAGGGTCAAACAAAAATGGAGCATCATGGAGCGATACACCGGTGAAATCGCACGCCGAGGGCGGTGCCATGGAGACGCCTGTACTCGCCTCGTACACACATTTCAACGAAAGCAGGCATGTCCATCTGACCATCACACGACACATCTTCGAAGGCGGATGAAACCCTGTGCATAGCCAAGGCTCGTCTAGCTCTGACATCTTGGACGAACAAGTTCTCCTTGTCTGGAGATTTCAAAACTTTGCAAGATGATGACAAGAAACCGAAGTTTCCGCAGGAATGTGCCCACAAGAGTCTTGAAACTGCCATAAACCTTGCCGAGAACATGTGTTCTTGCGTTGACGAAAGGCTTCTGCGGGAACACGACGTGCTCATTACAAGGACTGCCGGACATGCACCGCAAATTTACGACAGCGATTAGCAGTTTAAACTTTGGCGAGTCCTCAGTGCCACCTGCCAGTGCAGGGAAGGGAGCTGCCTGCGCACGAGGCATGTCACATGACGGGAGCTTGTGGAACTTTAGATGCTAAGAACGCCTGACTTTGTTCAATGTTTGGACGCCAGCCTCAGCTTCGACTGCCACGACTCCGTGGGAAAGCGGATGCTGTTCAACAGTACCAAAAACACAGACACGGTGGCTGACACATTCTGTTCGCAGGCGCGCGAGCGAGTTGTCCAGCTGCAGCGAAACCAGGGCGTGGGCTTTTTGTGTCCAGCCGAAAATTTTATAACTAGTGTGATGAATTCAACCACAGCTCATGCCGGGAGCCACTTTAGGCTCCCAACAAAACGGAGATCCAGCATGATCTGGTTAGATCTGCACGAAACAAAACGTGTTGTGCAGGCTACATGGCTCCGCGCTGTCGCAGGCCTACCGCTGAGACTCTCATGAGCAGCCCACGCTTCGTGTGGATTGTAGCGGCCATGTCTAGGCCGATGCTCTCCAAATCCTCGAAAACGAGCTTGAAGTCGTACCTGTGCACCGCGGGACGCTTTTCAAGTCCCTGTCACGAACAACAGAACGACGCCTCTGAAGAAGCATGGCCAGAATGATCGTGGACTGCACTGGAACTCGCCTCGGCTCGCCGACTCTGAAACTTCTCAGCGACGAGAGGTGCTTTGAACGGCTGGGGTGGCCTCCTCCAAAGCCAACAAAAGCGTAGTCGGTCGCAACAGCCGTGGGGTAGAGGCCTTTGTCAGAAAATGTGAAAAAAATCGGCTGTGAGTTGGATTGTCTGCGGCAAAGGCCTGTGACCCTCACTGGGTCATAGCCGCGCCATCCTTTTGAATTGCCACTTCTCTTCATTTGCATTCAGTCAACCAAAACGATCCCAAAGCCTCCTGCATCGCACATGCCAGTGGAGTTGAATGCCTGTTCCCAGCGCTCCGGCCGAAACCTCGTCAGAATGCCCAGGCTTTTCCCGAGAACAATGCAGCAGCGTTCAGGACACTTGGATCACTTGGTGCGAACAGGAAGCTCATCTGGGCGTTCGTAGACACCGGGATGTCGATGCAGTTGCGCTAGCTGAAGCAGCAACAAAGATCCCCGCTTCCTGAGCCACAACATGCTATTTCTGACTGCCGGAACAAGAGCTCATGTGACCCAGCTCTTCATCTTTCGCTTGCCGTTCGAGGATCAGAGTCACGTTGCTGCCATTTGTTGCCGGCAGCGTGACAGCTTGAAGTGGGCTCCGGGCCAGCACTGGTGGCGCTGGAAACAGCCGCAAAGTCTGCGCCACAGGCCCAAGCACGTATTGCAGCAAAGCATGAAGCCAGCTTCGCGTGGCTTCGGAATGTCAGCCCACCTCTGTCAGCACGAGCCTGATGTACTTCAGGTCTTTGACCTAAGCATCTAGCAAGGGCCGCTGAGGATTGACAACCCGATGTTAAGGGATCAAAGCCCACAACACAGTCAATCCAAACGTTGCGGTGCGCAAAAGAATTCGCTGGCTGTTGATGCAGTGTTCGCCAGTCTGACAGAGAACTTCGGGAGCCACGATTCTTTCACGGGTCTGCGGACGTGTCGCAGACTGCCGCAGGATGAACATTATTTTCTACAGAGTGCGGAAGAGAGCAGAAACGGGTTAGCTGAACGGCTTACTGTTTTACTTTCTTCGCCATGACACCCTTGCATCTGGCTTAAAGGGGATATCCTCCTGGATACCTGCCGCCAGACCGAGGCAAATTTCGGACCCATGCTGGGGCCCGAATTGAGATTCAACCGGTTTGACCTCCTGGCTCTTTATGCAGTCTATCGCAGAAGTATTCAACGTTCAAATTTAAGCTGGACCACATTATTCACCGTTCGAAATGCTTCCCAACGCTTCTCAAGTGGTCGGGATTTCCCCGAAAGCCACCGTTCAAAACACGAGACCTTGCGTTTGGTCCCGTCCTCGTGTCTCTTCTTGTTACCTGCTTGGGGAGATGACCTCTGATGATTTCCTCTTGCTCTTCTTGATTCCTGTCTCTTCGAATAACACGAGTCCCTAAACATGGAGGTCCACGGCAGCGACTCTACCATCCCCCCGAAGTAAAACCTGACTGCCAAAGGATTTGCCACCAGGCTACGTCCTGGTACGTGGGTGCGGAACGACCACCCAAGACTCTCTCCACCTGCAGCTGAATTTTATCAGGCAAAGGGAAAGTGGCACATTGTTGCTATCATTGTTAGTATTACTATGGCGACGATGAAGATTATGACTATTGTGATGATTTTATTGTCACTATCGTTCTTGCTAGTTGTAGCAGTAGTAGCAGTAG